TTTTGCCGTGAGACAGGAATTGTAGCCAGCTGAAATAGCTTTCTAATGCCGCCGGAACCAGTTGATTTGGAGTCCGGATGAGAAAGTTATGCTCGACTTCGTGGACGTACACTACCAAAGATGTTGAGGAATTCTCTCTTCTAATTTTATTTTATTTTCCTAATTGCAACTATTTTCTTACTCTTTGATCATTTTTGCTTCCTGGACACCTAATTTTAGATTTGACCTATAAGATACCAAATCCACAAATTCAACAGGGATATAAATTGATCCGGGGAGATGATCCACGCAAACGTTAAACGTAGAGTTTTATTTCTACACTCCACCGTACGTATTTTATCTAGTGTTTTTGCTGTTGTTTGTTGATGTGTATTAAAGTCCTAGTATTGTAGTTCGTGTTTTTGAGAACGTTGTTCCGAAAGCACTTTTGCGCATGTTTTTTTACATGTACGCTTGTGCATGTCTATTTGAGCGAGTGTGTTTGTGCATGTTTGTTGATTTGTATTAATGTCCTAGGATTGTAGTTTGTGTTTTCATGATCCTTTTTGCGAATTCACTTTTGCGTGAGTACTTATGTGCATTCTTTTGTACTCTTACTTATGTGCGTATCTTTCTAGCGAGAGTTTTTGTGCACGTTTCTTGATGCGCATTCATGTCCTCAAACTGTATTACGTATTTTCACGATCGCTTTTGGAATCCAATTTTGACCATGTTCGAGTCCGAATTTGGATTTTTGCCGTGAGACAGGAATTGTAGCCAGCTGAAATAGCTTTCTAATGCCGCCGGAACCAGTTGATTTGGAGTCCGGATGAGAAAGTTATGCTCGACTTCGTGGACGTACACTACCAAAGATGTTGAGGGATTCTCTCTTCTAATTTGATTTTATTTTCCTAATTGCAACTATTTTCTTTCTCTTTGATCATTTTTGCTTCCTGCACACCTAATTTTCGATTTGTACCTATAAGATACCAAATCCTGAAATTCAAAAAGAAATATAAATTAATCCAAAAAAAAAAATCCCCGTAAACGTAAACGCAGAGTTTAATTTCTACACTCCACCGTATCTTCTTTATCTAGTGTTTGTGATGTTGTTTGTTGATGCGTATTAAAGTCCTAGTATTGTAGTTCGTGTTTTTAAGAATGTTGTTGCGAATGCACTTTTGCGCATGTTTTTTTTACATGTATGTTTGTGCATGTCCATTTGAGCGATTGTGCTTGTGCATGTTTGTTGATTTGTATTAATGTCCTAGGATTGTAGTTTGTGTTTTCATGATCCTTTTTGCGAATGCACTTTTGCGTGAGTTCTGATGTGCATACTTTTGTACTCTTACTTATGTTCGTATCTTTCTAGCGAGAGTTTTTGTGCACGTTTCTTGATGCGCATTCATGTCCTCGAACTGTACTACGTATTTTCATGATCGCTTTTGGAATCCAATTTTGACCATGTTCGAGTCCGAATTTGGATTTTTGCCATTAGACAAGAATTGTATCCAGTTGAAATAGCTTTCCAATGCCGGCGGAACCAGTTGATTTGGAGTCCGGATGAGAAAGTTATGCTCGACTTCGTGGACGTACACTACCAAAGATGTTGAGGGATTCTCTCTTCTAATTTGATTTTATTTTCCTCATTGCAACTCTTTTCTTACACTTTGGTCATTTTTGCTTCCTGGACACCTAATTTAAGATTTGTACCTATAAGATACCAAATCCACAAACTCAAACAGAAATATAAATTAATCCCAAAAAATAATCCACGCAAACGTAAACGTAGAGTTTTATTTCTACACTCCACCGTACCTATTTTATCTAGTGTGTTTGCTGTTGTTCGTTGATGCGTATTAAAGTCCTAGTATTGTAGTTCGTGCTTTTAAGAAAGTTGTTGCGAATGCACTTTTGCGCATGTTCTTTTACATGTACGCTTGTGCATGTCCATTTGAGCGAGTGTTCTTGTGCATGTTTCTTGATTTGTATTAATGCCCTAGGATTGTAGTTTGTGTTTTCATAATCCTTTTTGCGAATGCACTTTTGCGTGAGTACTTTTGTGCATGCTTTTGTACTCTTACTTATGTGCGTATCTTTCTAGCGAGAGTTTTTGTGCACGTTTCTTGATGCGCATTCATGTCCTCGAACTGTATTACGTATGTTCATGATCGCTTTTGGAATCCAATTTTGACCATGTTCGAGTTCGAATTTGGATTTTTGCCGTTAGGCAGGAATTGTAGCCAGCTGAAATAGCTTTCTAATGCCGCCGGAACAAGTTGATTTGGAATCCGGATGAGAAAGTTAGGTTCGACTTAGTGGACGTACACTACCAAAGATGTTGAGGGATTCTCTCTTCTAATTTGATTTTATTTTCCTCATTGCAACTCTTTTCTTACTCTTTGGTCATTTTTAGTTCCTGGACACCTAATTTAAGATTTGTACCTATAAGATACCAAATCCACAAACTCAAACAGAAATATAAATTAATCCAAAAAAATAATCCACGCAAACGTAAACGTAGAGTTTTATTTCTACACTCCACCGTACCTATTTTATCTAGTGTTTTTGTTGTTGTTTGTTGATGCGTATTAAAGTCCTAGTATTGTAGTTCGTGTTCTTAAGAACGTTGTTGCGAATTCACTTTTGCGCAAGTTCTTTTTCATGTACGCTTGTACATGTCCATTTGGGCGAGTGTGCTTGTGCATGTTTGTTGATTTGTATTAATGTCCTAGGATTGTAGTTTGTGTTTTCATGATCCTTTTTGCGAATGCACTTTTGCGTGAGTACTTTTGTGCATGCTTTTGTACTCTTACTTATGTGCGTATCTTTCTAGCGAGAGTTTTTGTGCACGTTTCTTGATGCGCATTCATGTCCTCTAACTGTATTACGTATTTTCATGATCGCTTTTGGAATCCAATTTTGACCATGTTCGAGTCCGAATTTGGATTTTTGCCGTTATACAGGAATTGTAGCCAGCTGAAATAGCTTTCTAATGCCGCCGGAACCAGTTGATTTGGAGTCCGGATGAGAAAGTTATGCTCGACTTCGTGGACGTACACTACCAAAGATGTTGAGGGATTCTCTCTTCTAATTTGATTTTATTTTCCTAATTGCAACTATTTTCTTACTATTTGATCATTTTTGCTTCCTGGACACCTAATTTTTGATTTGTACCTATAAGATACCAAATCCACAAATTCAAAAAGAAATATAAATTAATCCAAAAAAAAAATCCCCGTAAACGTGAACGTAGAGTTTAATTTCTACACTCCACTGTATCTTTTTTATCTAGTGTTTTTGTTGTTGTTTGTTGATGCGTATTAAAGTCCTAGTATTGTAGTTTGTGTTTTAAAGAATTTTGTTGCGAATGCACTTTTGCGTATGTTTTTTTACATGTACGTTTGTGCATGTCCATTTGAGAAATTGTGCTTGTGCATGTTTGTTGATTTGTATTAATGTCCCAGGATTGTAGTTTGTGTATTCATGATCCTGTTTGCGAATGCACTTTTGCGTGAGTACTTTTGTGCATGCTTTTGTACTCTTACTTATGTTCGTATCTTTCTAGCGAGAGTTTTTGTGCACGTTTCTTGATGCACATTCATGTCATGGAACTGTAGTACGTATTTTCATGATCGCTTTTGGAATCCAATTTTGACCATGTTCGAGTCCGAATTTGGATTTTTGCCGTTAGACAGGAATTGTAGCCAACTGAAATAGCTTTCTAATGCCGCCGGAATCAGTCGATTAGGAGTCCGGATGAGAAAGTTATGCTCGACTTCGTGGACGTACACTACCAAAGTTGTTGAGGGATTCTCTTTTCTAATTTGATTTTATTTTCCTAATTGCAAATCTTTTTTTACTCTTTGATCATTTTTGCTTCCTGGACACCTAATTTTTGATTTGTACCTATAAGATACCAAATCCACAAATTCAAACAAAAATATAAATTAATCCAAAAAAATAATCCACGCAAACGTAAACGTAGAGTTTTATTTCTACACTCCACCGTACCTATTGATACGAACCCCATAGAACTTGTTACGAGACCCTAATACATTACGCAAAAGCAAGATCGAAAACATCCAAAAACAAAGATTCAAAGGGTTGAACCGCGACCCGTTGCCTATAAAGAGGCAAGAACCTTGGTATGTGAAGACGCCACAATCGATTGCGAAAGATCGATTGATAAGTCGGGGTGAACAAACGGAATCCACCAATATGTTCGAAAAGTTCTTAAAGAACCAAAGAGAATATTCTCAATTAAATCATCAAAATTCGTCCTATCAAATAAGCCAAATTGGCAACCTATTTATAAGGTCTAAAAAGACTCCTTTTTCACAAGGAAAATGACTCCTACCTAAACTATAATAAGGTAACTTGTAAATAAGTAAATCATAACCATAAAAGACTCTAAAATAATAAAAACATAATAAATACTAAATTAAAAACGTGAATAAGTAAATTAAATAACTTGATCTTCAAGTCGACTTCTCGATCACCCTTCTTAACTCGCGACATTGGGCTGTGCACGTGCACGCAATTAAAGCTCAATTTCGACACTATTCTACTTCGAATATCTCTTCGCTCAAAACATGAAAGTTGTAGATCTTTCAGTTAGCTTTCGGAATCAATTTGAATCATCTTAATTGGACTTCATATGGGAGAGTTATATTTCGAATGTAAACTCTGCCACAATAGGCGAGAATCTCGGATGCATGGAATTCGACTTGTCCAACGAATTCTTCTCTTCCTTTTCTTCTAATTCCAAACCACGGACTCTTCAAAGGCCTGATTCAAGCCTTTATTCTTCAATCCCAACACGAATGGCTCCATTAATCTCTCTCTCTTTCTCTTCTTCCAATTCTTTGTCTTGGAGCTTGTGCCGATCGTATCATTCTCCCCCTCTTTAAAAGGATTCGTCCTCGAATCCGGACAAATATCACAAGGAGTGTAAACAAGATCGATCTCTCTCTTTGTTATCGAACTTACACATCTCTGCACCACATCGCATAACACACCGTCTTGCAGCCATTGAAATGTGTACGAACATGGATATTTTTTAGCTCGAATTCCCAATGCGTCCAACCTCTGTATAGAGAATGGATGAAGCATCTCTCTATGCACCGCCATCTCATCAACATTCACACTGAGAGTGTGCACTTTGGTCAGCTCTGCATTAACTTCGATGCATGGCTGCATCATATCATTCTCCACCTCTTCAAAAGGATTCGTCCTCTAATCCGAACCTTTTTTTTCTTCAAGTGGTGGCGCGGGTTTGCAATTTTCTTCCCCCTTGGACTCGACCTCAACATCCTCATTTAACTTTTCCTCAATCAGCGGTTTATCACTTGCTAAATCGGCTACAATGTTCTGATTCTCAAATGCTTGACGAGTATCTTCCTTTCCAAGTGACGAGAAAGAATCACCATTTCTCTTCAATTTCTCGTAGTCCGACCGCAAATTCATGAATGGGTTATCCAAACAATCTGAAGCGACATGACCAAAACCCAAACACCAAAAACATTTAGTATCATGAATTGAACGAGATTGAGAAGAATAATAACCTCTTTCTTTAGTCTCATATGGAGGATCGAACGTGGCCTCTCTCGGTATTGATTCCATATCTCGGTTTGATGAAGAGCTCCACCGTGATTTTCGACTCGGCAATCTCCTTTCTTTTAACTCAGTAGCATAGGATGAATGAACTGAGTACTTACTTGATCTAGGATAATCATCTAACTCTCGCTCGTAATCATCGGAATGACCTCGTCTTGGTCGATCGAACTGAGCCCCTCGCCGCAAATAAACATCTCTTGGTGTTGCAGCAGTCACACCATATCTTACATTACCATAAACTTCCTTATCACGATGAGGTAGAACCGGTTGGTGAACATCACGTCGTAGGTATGGCCCTCGAACATGTTGATCTTTATTTAGTTCCTTTAGTTGGGTAATAATTCCTTCCATCTGATCTTGGAGTTCTTGGAAGCGTTTATCCATTGGCGACATCCTACGCTGCTCAATTCTTTCTCCGTAATAACCAGCCTTCTCGGACATGATCAAAGTAATTTTTTTTTTTTTTTTTTTTTATTTTTATTTTTAACGACACTAACAAAACCTAACTTAGACTCTAAGAAACTAAAAAAAAAATAACTAAAATACGAATTTGAATTTTTTGTTTTGACAAAAACAAACCCTAACTTGTCTGGAGAAAATCTAAATAAAAAAAGAAAAATTCGAATTTTTTGTATTTGTTTTTTTTTTTTGACGAAGACTCTAAATAACACAACTCAAGAATAGATGAGATATACTAGAAGACACAACAAAAAATAAAGATAGTTGAAACCTCTTTTGGATGTTGGCTCTGGTTACCAACTGATACGAACCCCGTAGAACTTGTTACGAGACCCTAATACCTTACGCGGAAGCAAGATCGAAAACATCCAAAAACAAAGATTCAAAGGGTGGAACCGCGACCCGTTGCCTATAAAGAGGCAAGAACCTTGGTATGTGAAGACGCCACAATCGATTGCGAAAGATCGATTGATAAGTCGGGGTGAACAAACGGAATCCACCGATATCTTCGAAAAGTTCTTAAAGAACCAAAGAGAATATTCTCAATTAAATCATCAAAATTCGTCCTATCAAATAAGCCAAATTGGCAACCTATTTATAAGGTCTAAAAAGACTCCTTTTTCACAAGGAAAAGGACTCCTACCTAAACTATAATAAGGTAACTTGTAAATAAGTAAATCATAACCATAAAATACTCTAAAATAATAAAAACATAATAAATACTAAATTAAAAACGTGAATAAGTAAATTAAATAACTTGATCTTCAAGTCGACTTCTCGATCATCCTTCTTAACTCGCGACATTGGGCTGTGCACGTGCATGCAATTAAAGCTCAATTTCTACACTGTTCCACTTCGAATATCTCTTCGCTAAAAACATGAAAGTTGTAGATCTTTCAGTTAGCTTTCTGAGTCATTTTGAATCAGCTTAATTGGACTTCATATGGGAGAGTTATAACTCGAACGGTAAACTCTGCCACAATAGGCGAGAATCTCGGATGCATGGAATTCGACTTGTCCAACGAATTCTTCTCTTCCTTTCCTTCCAATTCCAATCCACGGACTCTTCAAAGGCCTGATTCAAGCCTTTATTCTTCAATCCCAACACGAACGGCTCCATTAATCTCACTCTCTTTCTCTTCTTCCAATTCTTTGTCTTGGAGCTTGTGCGATCGTATCATTCTCCCCCTCTTTAAAAAAATTCGTCATCGAATCCGGACAAATATCACAAGGAGTGTAAACAAGATCGATCTCTCTCTTTGGTATCGAACTTACACATCTCTGCACCACATCGCATAAAACACCATCTTGCAGCCATTGAAATGTGTACGAACATGGATAGTTTGTAGCTCGAATTCCCAATGCGTCCAACCTCTGTATAGAGAATGGATGAAGCATCTCTCTATGCACCGCCATCTCATCAACATTCACACTGAGAGTGTGCACTTTGGTCAGCTCGGCATTAACTTCGATGCATGGCTGCATCATATCACCTATTTTATCTAGTGTTTTTGCTGTTGTTTGTTGATGCGTATTAAAGTCCTAGTATTGTAGTTCGTGTTTTTAAGAACGTTGTTGCGAATGCACTTTTGCACATGTTTTTTTACATGTACGCTTGTGCATGTCCACTTGAGCGAGTGTGCTTGTGCATGTTTGTTTATTTGTATTAATGTCCAAGGATTGTAGTTTGTGTTTTCATGATCCTTTTTGCGAATGCACTTTTGCGTGAGTACTTCTGTGCATGCTTTTGTACTCTTACTTATGTTCGTATCTTTCTAGCGAGAGTTTTTGTGCACGTTTCTTGATGCGCATTCATGTCATCGAACTGTAGTACGTATTTTCATGATCGCTTTAGGAATCCAATTTTGACCATGTTCGAGTCCAAATTTGGATTTTTGCCGTTAGACAAGAAATGTTGCCACCTGAAATAGCTTACTAATGCCGCCGGAACCAGTTGATTTGGAGTCCGGATGAGAAAGTTATGCTCGACTTCGTGGACGTACACTACCAAAGATATTGAGGGATTCTCTCTTCTAATTTGATTTTATTTTCCTAATTGCAACTCTTTTCTTACTCTTTGATCATTTTTTCTTCCTGGACACCTAATTTTCGATTTGTACCTATAAGCTACCAAATCCACAAATTCAAACAGAAATATAAATTAATCCAAAAAAATAATCCACGCAAACGTAAACGTAGAGTTTTATTTCTACACTCCACCGTACCTATTTTATCTAGTGTTTTTGCTGTTGTTTGTTGATGCGTATTAAAGTCCTAGTATTGTAGTTCGCGTTTTAAGAACGTTGTTGCGAATGCACTTTTGCGCATGTTTTTTTACATTTACGGTTGTGCATGTCCATTTGAGCGAGTGTGCTTGTGCATGTTTGTTGATTTGTATTAATGTCCTAGGATTGTAGTTTGTGTTTTCATGATCCTCTTTGCGAATGCACTTTCGCGTGAGTACTTTTGTGCATGCTTTTGTACTCTAACTTATGTGCGTATCTTTCTAGCGAGAGTTTTTGTGCACGTTTCTTGATGCGCATTCATGTCCTCGAACTGTAGTACGTATTTTCATGATCGCTTTTGGAATCCAATTTTGACCATGTTTGAGTCCGAATCCGCTGCACCCGCAATCAGGAATTGTAGCCAGCTGAAATAGATTTCCAATAGCGCCGGAACCAGTTGATTTGGAGTCTGGATGAGAAAGTTATGCTCGATTTCGTGGACGTACACTACCAAATATGTTGAGGGATTCTCTCTTCTAATTTGATTTTATTTTCTTAATTGCAACTCTTTTCATACTCTTTGATCAATTTCGCTTCCTGGACACCTAATTTTAGATTTGACCTATAAGATACCCTATCCACAAATTCAAACAGAAATATAAATTAATCCAAAAAAATAATCCACGCAAACGTAAACGTAGAGTTTTATTTCTACACTCCACCATACCTATTTTATCTAGTGTTTTTGCTGTTGTTTGTTGATGCGTATTAAAGTCCTAGTATTGTAGTTCGTGTTTTTAAGAACGTTGTTGCGAATGCACTTTTGCGCATGTTCTTTTACATGTACGCTTGTGCATGTCCATTTGAGCGAGTGTGCTTGTGCATGTTTGTTGATTTGTATTAATGTCCTAGGATTGTAGATTGTGTTTTTCATGATCCTTTTTGCGAATGCACTTTTGCGTGAGTACTTTTGTGCATGCTTTTGTACTCTTACTTATGTGTGTATCTTTCTAGCGAGAGTTCTGGTGCAGGTTTCTTGATGCGCATTCATGTCCTCGAACTGTATTACGTATTTTCATGATCGCATTTGGAATCCAATTTTGACCTTGTTCGAGTTCGAATTTGGATTTTTGCCGTTAGACAGGAATTGTAGCAAACTGAAATAGCTTTCTCATGCCGCCGGAACAAGTTGATTTGGAGTCTGGATGAGAAAGTTGTGCTCGACTTCGTGGACGTACACTACCAAAGATGGTGAGGGATTCTCTCTTCTAATTTGATTTTATTTTCCTAATTGCAACTATTTTCTTACTCTTTGATCATTTTTGTTCCTGGACACCTAATTTTCGATTTGTACCTTTAAGATACCAAATCCACAAATTCAAAAAGAAATATAAATTAATCCAAAAAAAAAATCCCCGTAAACGTAAACGTAGAGTTTAATTTCTACACTCCACCGTACCTTTTTTATCTAGTGTTTGTGCTGTTGTTTGTTGATACGTATTAAAGTCCTAGTATTGTAGTTCGTGTTTTTAAGAATGTTGTTGCGAATGCACTTTTGCGCATGTTTTTTTACATGTACGTTTGTGCATGTCCATTTGAGCGATTGTGCTTGTGCATGTTTGTTGATTTATATTAATGTCCTAGGATTGTAGTTTGTGTTTTCATGATCCTTTTTGCGAAAGAACTTTTGCGTGAGTACTTTTGTGCATGCTTTTGTACTCTTACTTATGTGCGTATCTTTCTAGTGAGAGTTTTTGTGCACGTTTCTTGATGCGCATTCATGTCCTCGAACTGTAGTACGTATTTTCATGATCGCTTTTGGAATCCAATTTTGACCATGTTCGAGTCCGAATTTGGATTTTTGCCGTTAGACAGGAATTGTAGCCAGTTGAAATAGCTTTCCAATGCCGCCTGAACCTGTGGATTTGGAGTCCGGATGAGAAAGTTATGCTCGACTTCGTGGACGTACACTATCAAATATGTTGAGGGATTATCTCTTCTAATTTGATTTTATTTTCCTAATTGCAACTCTTTTCTTACTCTTTGATCATTTTTTCTTCCTGGACACCTTATTTTAGATTTGACCTATAAGATACCAAATCCACAAATTCAAAGAGAAATATAAATTAATCCAAAAAAATAATCCACACAAACGTAAACGTAGAATTTTATTTCTACACTCCACCGTACCTATTTTATCTAGTGTTTTTGCTGTTGTTTGTTGATGCGTATTAAAGTCCTAGTATTGTAGTTCGTGTTTTTAAGAACGTTGTTGCGAATGCACTTTTGCGCATGTTTTTTTACACGTACGCTTGTGCATGTCCATTTGAGCGAGTGTGCTTGTGCATGTTTGTTGATTTGCATTAATGTCCTAGGATTTTAGTTTGTGTTTTCATGATCCTTTTTGCGAATGCACTTTTGCGTTAGTACGTTTGTGCATGCTTTTGTACTCTTACTTATGTGCGTATCTTTCTAGCGAGAGTTTTTTTGCACGTTTCTTGATGCGCATTCATGTCCTCGAACTGTATTACGTATTTGCATGATCGCTTTTGGAATCCAATTTTGACCATGTTCGAGTCCGAATTTGGATTTTTGCCGTTAGACAGGAATTGTAGACAGCTGAAATAGCTTTCTAATGCCGCCGGAACCAGTTGATTTGGTGTCCGGATGAGAAAGTTATGCTCGACTTCGTGGACGTACACTACCAAAGATGTTGAGGGATTCTCTCTTCTAATTTGATTTTATTTTCCTAATTGC